TTATTTTCTTAAATTTTGAAATTTTATGGATTTTTTTTCTAATTTTTAAGTTTTGTATGTTTTAATTATTTGGATTTTTTATTTTTTTTTTATTTTTTTAAAGTAATTTCAATTGACCACTAAATTGATAAATATTTATAAAAAAAAACTAATTTTATAGTTTTTTACATGTTTACATATATGGTGTATGTCACTATGTATTAAATAATAGTTTGTTTAGTTCAGAAGACCTTTCTATAGTTGGGGATGGTTTGCAACATATTATGCAATACTTAGTAAATAGCATTTAGGAGAATAATCTCAAAGAGATATAACAATTTTATTCTAGGTGCAATTACAAAAATGCCACTTTTTGTGTGCACATTTGCAAAAATGCCACTTAGGGGTGCATATTTGCAAAAATGCCACTAATTATAGATTTATAGAACCTATATCTTAAAATTCTAAACTCTAAAAAATGTTTTGACCCCTAAAACCCCCTAAACCCTCATAACTAAACCCTAATAGAACATAATTAACCCAAACATAAATGATATAAAGAAAAAATAATTTTGAAAAAGTGACATTTTTGTAAAGATTTCAAAAGTGTGGCTTTTTTGTAAAGTGACACTTGAAAAATGGCATTTTTTTGAAATTTCTCTTTATTCTAATTGATCAACTCAAGCAACATTATGGTGCTCATATAGATTAACAACTTTAGCCTAATTTCAAATACGAAAGTAATACGTGGTGTGAGAAACATAGACCCAATAAATACCATAATTATGAGATTTGTTCTTGATTTTGTTGTTAAGAATCATCAAACATTATTCCATATAGAACTTCCAAAAAAACTCGTGTCTATATGGAATAATGTTTGATGATATCAAAATCAAACAGCAAATATAGAAATATAATAATTGATTATCCTTTAATGATGGGACAATTAATTAAGATCTCAAATAGGAGTATATCCAAATGGGAGAAATCTATTCATATTTCTTTAAACGTGTCGTTAACGATTTTGGTTTCTTACAAAAAGAGATTGTGATCATTTTGGTTTCTAAAGAATAGCAATTGTTCTTGCTTCAAAACACCAACCAACCCTAGGCAGAGTTGTGAGCAGATTAAGACGCAAGAAAATGGAGGAAAAAGCCCTAGGGAAGGTGTTGAGCTGCCAGATGATCTAGTAGAAGAGATTGTCCATCATCTGAGGTGGGTGAAATCATTGTTGAGGTTTAAATCAATATCGAAAGGATGGAAATCAATGATCGAATCGGGCCATCTAGCAGAGAAACACCTTCGTCTCCGTCAGAAAAGGGATGGAGCGGAAGAGCTGAAAGTCACTTTCAAATGGTCCGAACAGAGATGCTTTCGTATGGAGTTTATCTCAAAAAACGATGGATTTAGTGAAGCAGACAAGGTAGAGCCAGAAGAGTATATTCGAGTTGCTGGATCTTGTAACGGTTTGTTCTGCATCTACGATTTGGTCTACGTTTATCTAACCAACCCTATGACAAAAGTGATGCGGGCACTTGTTCCTCCTCAAGGTTTCAAACTTTCAGTGGGATTTGGGAGAGACATAGTGAGAGGAACATGCAAAGTGGTGGTTCTGTATAGTCCCGATGACAGAGTGGAGACATTTGTTTTCGATCTGGGCACTAGCGAGTGGAGGCGGACCGCAGGTCCAATGCCTCTTGGTCTCACTCTAATCAGCCCTGAAAGAAACCCAGCCTTTGTAAAGGGCTCACTCTTCTGGTTGTTGACAAGCGAGATACTAGTCATGGATCTTCACACCGAAAAGTTCCGTACTGTGTCACAACTTCTCGCTTCTGAGTCGTCTCCGGCTCCCATTTACATTTGGAGTTTCGAAGACCGTCTCTGTGTCTCTGATTTCAGCTACGTGTGGTTTCTTGTGCAGGACAAGGTTAGTGAGAGGTAGGAGAGGACTCCATTCTCGACCCATCCAATCATTCCTCCAGTAAAGCTGAACTCCGCTTGGCTTTCAAAGACCTTGGTTTCTCCTTACCAGTCCTTGTCTTCAGACACCTATCGCTTCTAGACATGTATACTCCTATTTTACATTGCTTTTCAATCAAGTTTCAATATTTGGATTCAGTAATGCCATTTGTTTCTTCTTCACATTCATTTTAATTATTTTGCAAATTAAATTATCCCTCTTCTGCTTCCTAGAACCCATGATTTCCATTACATACTTTATTTCCCGCCGTTATTGTAGAAAATTCCGATGACATG